ATCTCTCCAATCTAAACTTTTCCTTTCTTTAAAATATTATGGTGGTGCAGGACAAAAGAAAGATGCTTGTCTTTTGAAGTTGGGCCCAATTTGTGCAGCGAGGCTATTTAACTGACATTTAACAGCCAGGCTATTTAACTGGTAAGTTTCTTTCTTACAAGGTGATAGTGAGGATAAGATAAAAATGACTGCTGAACATGGTGGTACTCAGAATTCAGGGTCAAGGTTATGTGTGTGTGTATTGATGGAGCAGAAATAGCATTAGCATAAGGTTTTTAGTTGTTTTAATTTATATTCTATTTAATTTCTAATCTATTAAATTTCTATTCCTAATGTCGGGCATTAACTACTGAATTACTTTAACTTGATCTCATAACTAGGACCTTGTTCTTCCAGGTAGCACTGAAAAAAAAACTGTAAGAATGCGCCCTCTGGTGGCTAATATGAAAGTTGCAATGACTTTCTGTTTATCCCCATCTTTTTCCTCCTTTGTCAATTGCAGAAAAATATTCTTTTATTTCAGAACTTTGTGATATGTCCAATTCATCCCCAGCAACTTAAAACGCATAAATAGATTAGTCCTATTAGACCTTAATAGACCTTAAGCTTTCCTAAACCAGGGCAAAGGTCACTTGTTCACATAGAGCAATGGTGTATTTTTAAATACTTTTTACTGAGGAACCATTGATTTACAACACCAAATGTGTCTACTTTTATCAAAGATGAAAATTACTTTATGATCTAGATGCTGGGTCCTGGCTAAGGTAGGCATGAGGTCACAGGATGTCACTGTTGTATCAAGTAGATTTCCCCTCTGTCCATCAGAGTCCAGGTCTCTTACAGTGACTGAACTACGGGGCTGGACTTTCCTTGGAACAAGAGTGGAGAAAAGATGGGGAAATTTGTGATTCCTGAAATTGTGAGTGGAAGCAGGCTCAGAGGAAGACATGGGGGGTGGGACAAGCTTGGTGTCTACAGACGTAGGAACACAAGGTTCTATGATTGTGCCCAAACAGTGACAATGACATGCTCCATCTCAGCTCCACTTGGATTAGTCTTCATCCTGGAAAGCCCTGGGCAGATTTATAAGTTATTGAGCTATTGGGTTTTTTTCCCTTCTTTGGCAAGATGTCTTAAGGGCGGTCTCCCCCTTACCCGCCTTTACACACTACAGAGCTGAATTGGGAAACTTGGCTTGTCCTTTTTACCCTCCCAACTTCAACATTATAAACAAATTGCAAATTAATATCCCCCAGAATCATTGCCAAAAGGTAAGAGAATAATCATGAATAAGTTATGTGGGGTAGAGGAGAGGCAAAGAAAGATACCAGGTACAACGGAAATTGGAAGGAAAGTAAAGGAACGTAGCACGCAGACCCTGGGCTGGGAATCTGCCAGGACCACACAGTTAACTCTTACCACTGAGGTGCAGGTGTTCTAATGAATGGGGCAGAACAACTTTCCAACCTTTTAATCACTTGTCAAATTACCCAAATGCACTCTTGTTGGTTCTTGGAGGTTGTCTTTGCAAAGGCTTGCTTAGTTCAGTCCTGCCCAGTGGATCAAAGCTGATCAGATTACTAGGTTAAAGGGACAGCTGTTTATCACAAGATCTCAGCATCTCTTTTCGTAATAGCAGTGTTGTAAACAGAATTCTCTCATTTGGTTACTAATCTGGAGTAGTGACTTTCACCTTGAGTGACTTTGTTCCTTTCTATGGGGGAACAGGGAGGTACAGGAGACAATGAAATTCAGACATTTTATTTGTCAGGCTTGCTGAAGGTGATTGGTATTTCAGGGGTAGGAAATAGCAGTTGCTAAATAGGACACTCCCTACCAGTGTCACTTCAACAGTGTTCAGCCTAAGAAGACATGGAGGATGATAGCTTCTTTTAATTTTCTCTTTCTCCAACAGGAGGAAGAACAATCCCACAACTCCATAATGGTAGCAGGCTTCACATCCTTGCCTTGAGGTTAAGATTTCTATTAGCAAGTTGATACAATGAAGCAGTGTTCATACTTTTCCAGAAAGAGTGACCAAAAGCAGAATGTGGTAGAGTGAGTGTGACATTAGGAGATGGATGATTTCATCGAATGATTGGGGAAATGGTACAAAATTGAATTCATTTCATGTATTCTTAATAATTCACTTTGCTTCACACCTGTGCACCTCTGGGAGCAGGTCAAGGGTTCAAGTCCAGGAGGAAAGGTCAGTGGTTAAGTTCAGAGAGTACCAACTCCTTCCAAAAGAAGATAGGAGTATGGAAATAAAGCACTATGAAAATTTGATGAGTAGATCCAAATCTGCTAAATAACAAATGATGACTTAGAGTTCACTTGATAAAATTAATGATATTAACTTAATTTTTAAACAAGACCAACAAGATAATTATAAGCTGTACTGGAAAGGAAATAAAGTTCTCAAATAAACTTTCAAAACACATTGGGAGACATAGTACTAGTACAGTATTGTCCTGTATACAAGTACTTGTACCTTATACAAGCACTTGCCTTGAATACAGAGGTCGAACAAAGGTCTAATCCCAGAAACCAAGCAGTCCCCCAAACATTGTTGCATGTATCCCTGGAGTGACCCCTCTAGCTCCAAGCTCTGCTGGGATGGCCTGTAGAATCCACAGCACTGTGGAACCCAGGAGGCATCCCATCCTAGCATGGGACCACCAGTCAGGTTTGTAGATAATCACCAAAGGGCCCCCCGGGTCATCTGAGCAATACTGGGGAAGTTCCCCACCCCCAATAAAAGCATGGCGTTGGGGATATATCAAGGGCTGATGAACCAGCTATTAGATTTCCCAATGACTAAGCTAGAAAAATTGAACAACAAAATAAACAAGATGGTATTGGATTGTAAACCAAAGTACAGCATAACTAACCACAAGTCCATGCTGATATGAAGAAACATGGAAGACTAAATAAACCTATTTGGGTTTGAGAATTTTTTTTTACTGTTTATTTTCCAATGGGGCCCATTGGAGATATGTTAGCAATGGCAGCTGCCTCTGGTCTTGGTGTCACTGAAACATCCTTTGTTTTTCTTTTTTCCTTTAACATAAGATGAATATAGTCATGGTATCCACATCCTTGTTGTGAGCAAATTAAGCAAGATGGTCCCTGTAAATATTTGGTGCTATTCTACACCTAATTTTTCCAGTTTAAGAACTGCCTCTCTCCCTCCACCTCACCAAGCTCTGCAAGTTTAGTATCATTTGTCAGTTGATTGATACTGGACCTAATTTATAAGAACAAGGTCTGGGTACCACATCTCTCGAACATCAGCATCTGCTCAATGGCAGCTTCAAACAAGCACGTGACAAGTGAGACCAATGAATGAAGGGACATGGTAGTTGTGCTCAGAACTGTAGTCTAACAGGCTGCAGGCTCAGGGGTCAGTGTCTGGGGAGTTTGGAGTGGAGGAAGGTTGAAAGCAGCAGCGGGCTGAGGTCCTCTGAGTGGAAAGCTGGGGAGGTGTGGGTCTGACTGTGTTTAGTAATTAGCCTGACAACTTCTGTCTCAGACAGAGGCCCTGAAACTCTGGTTCTTGAACTCGGAGAGCCTGTGACCTTTCTCTCTCAACTGTGTGTATTGGCAGTGCCTACCGTCATAAGAGAACTCTGTGAGAAGCACAACTTTTAGGTCTGCAGATTCCAAGAATCAAAGACATGAAAGGATATCATTGAGGGAGTATTGAATAACGCTTGACCAACAGCTACTTTCAGAAGCCAAAAACAGGGGGTTGGAGTGATAGTACAGTGGTACAGTGGGTTGGGTGTTTGTCTTGTATGTGGCCGCCCCGGGTTCAATTCCCACCATCCGATATGGTCCCCTGAGCACCGGCAGAAGTAATTCCTGAGTGCAAAGCCAGGAGTAACTCCTATGAATTGCCAGGTGTGTGATCCCCAAAACAAAACAAAACAAACAACCCTCTCCCTCCCAAAAAAAACAGAAGCCAAAAACACAACCATAGGAACTCCACTGCATTGCTTGAATGTATAAATATATTCCAGAAGCACACACATCTATCATTTATAAATATAAAGGAATTACACCATGGGTTTACTATCTTCTTTCTCATTATCTATATTCATACACACATATCAGATCCTAGGACTATAATAGGACAAAGGCTGTATGATAAGACTTTTATTCTTTGATTATGGTCTTTTCAAATGCATTTTATCTTCAATACCTTTTTTTGGGGGGGTCACACCCAGCGATGCTCATGCATTCAGGAATTACTCCTGGCAGTGCTTGGGGGGACCATACAAGATGCCAGGGATTAAATCTGGGTAGGCCTCATGCAAGGCAAATGCCCTACCCACTGTACTACCGCTCTAGCCACAGGACACTCTTTACTAAACAGAAACTTCAACAGTCCTGACAAAACAGGCTTCCCAGGAAACTTACAAGAACCCCAGACTCCCCTGGAATACAGACAACCTTTGCATGGCTGCCACCTGAAAATAATCTACACGCATGTTTATTGGAATGTCAATGACCCCACCTTAAAAGGACATTAAAAAAGCAAAACAAATCCTGGTGATGTGTATGATGCTGTGACTGGGTCTGCATCAAACATTAATGTTAATACTATTGTATGCTGTGATGCGACAATAGGGCATATTTAATTTTTTTTCTTTTGGGGGGCTGGAGCAAAAGCACAGCAGGTAGGGAGTTTGCCTTGCTCGCGGCTTACCTGGGTTCTATTCCCAGAATCCCATATGGTCTCCCGAGCACTGCCAGGAGTAATTCCTGAGTGCATGAGCCAGAAGTAACCCCTGTGCATCACCGGGTGTGAACCAAAAAGGAAAACATTTTTTTCTTTCTATTTATTTATTTATTTATTTATTTATACATACAAAGCCGTTCATGATTGGATTTAGTCATACAGTGTTCCAACACCCATCCCTCCACCAGTGTACATTTCCAGCACCAGTGTTCCCAAGTTCCCTCCCATTAAAAAAAATTTTTTTTTTTTTATAAAAAATACAGATACTGAACTGCTTCGTGAATGCTCAGGCCATCCTTGTTCAAGTGCCTTGCTAATCTCTGTATTGTTCCGACTCTTGTATAGCTATTGAAGCATTAGCACTCAAATAATTCTTTTTTTTTTCTTTTTGGGTCACATCTGGTGATGCACAGGGGTTACTCCTGGCCCTGCACTCAGAAATTACCCCAAGCAGTGCTCAGGGGACCATATGGGATGCTGGGAATCGAACTCGGGTCGGCCGCGTGCAAGTCAAACGCCCTACCCATTGTGCTACTGCTCCAGCCCCTCAAATAATTCTTATTCCTTGACTCACAAGGAACATTTTTATGAATAACCCGAGTGAATTTTCCTGTTTCCCCTCAATTTCTTATTTTTGTTTTGGGGCCACACTCAGCGATGCTCAGGGACTTCTCCCAGAGGTTGCCTGCCATAGTGCCAGGATATAGCAGGCTCCCTGTGCAGAGCAGGCCTCCAGCCCATTGATCTAACCGCTGGCCCCTTAGCGCTGTTTGTCTCTGTAGACCCTGCCCGACATTGTCAACCCTGGCTCAGAGAGTGATTGGTGAGTCTGCTTTAAATTCCAGATTTTCCCTCTCTGAATGTTGGATGTGATAAATGGGCTGGGGTCTGATGGTTAATAATGGCTTGCAAGGAGAGTCTGAGTATCTTGCAGGTTGAATTAGGGTGAAATACTCAGAAACTACTCCCCACTCACAAGCTCTGCGAAATCTGCATATATTAAAGAGTAGATTTCTAAAATGCAACTTTTTTTCCCCATTCTCGTCTGTCCTCATCCCTGTCCTCAATCTTCTTAAGATTCTGCAAGTTACTTAACATTTATTTTTGCACCCTTCAGCATTTTAAATAATGATGTCTGCGTTACTCAGTCAAGAGGGCCAAAATTATGTACTGTGGAAGGTTCCTAAAAAGTGGTTGAGAAATTGAGATGTAAGATACCCTTCTGACAAATGTTCTATTTTTCCTGGCAAATCAAGCCTTCATTAATTCTTGCCACTAGCTGGTGCTAGGATATCATTTAGCAAGCATGCAATTACATGGAATCAGTCACTATTAGTCACCCTAAGTAGGTCGTTCTTCTTTCTTTGACATGATGCCCTTATATCATTTCCACTGTCTGGCGTATCAATGAGGAAGAAGTTGTCTCCCTGATCCTGTCCAGGTCGCCACCTTACAAACACCAGGGAGATTCCTTCTTAAAACCATGTTATTTAAAGATTCTTCCAATACTAGAACTTTCTGATTTTATTATCACCTCCAACACATACACTTACTGTTACTATTCTTGGATCTGATAAATCGTGCATTGGGGATGATAAAGATTTTAAAGACAAAGGCAACCTAAGAAAAATACTAATCTCCAAATTTATATTGTTAAAATTCTTCTTGAAGAAAGCAGTGATGATAGACAGCCAGAAGTCTCTTTTTATTTTGCATTTTTTTACAGAATATTACTAGTGATGTAATTATACCACTAAAATTTTATTGTAAATTCAACATCATATCCTCAATCCAATACCATCAATTCCAATACTTCTCTTTCTTATATATATTTTTTTCTGATTCACTATATTTTTTCCATCTTCTTGAATTCTCTTGGTTTGGATTCTTTTAACAATACTCAACAGTAATGTTGAGGGTGGGTGTCTTTGTCTTGTTTCCAATAGAGAACCCAGAGCTTCTACTGTTAAATGATTTACTGCAGGTTTTTAGTTTTTAAAGCTTCTTTTTTTATAAATACATGCTCAGTGTTATTGAGTCTCTTTCTGCATTGTTGAATGAACCATATGCTTTTCCTTTCTTTTCTGAATGTTGTATCTAAGTTTATTTTGTTTATTTTTTAAGGATAAATCAATCTGGAACTCGACTTGTCATCATATTTTATCCAATATGTATATGGATAATTTTCATTCAATATGTTTATCCAATAGTATAATGCTAGATTTTGTTTGCTAAATTAAAAATAATGTTTTTTGGGCAACGCCCTGTAGTGCTCAGGAGTTACCCCTGGCTTTGTGCTCAAAGATCACTCAGGGCAGGCTCAGGGAAGCATATTGGGTGCCAGGAATCAAACCTGAGTCAGCTGCAGGCAAGGAAAGTGCCCTTTCAGCTCTACTATTCCTCTAGACTCCGGTTTACTAATTTTTAATATGATGTTTGCATGCGTGTCTGTCCATGAGTGATACTGGCTGTAGAATGGAGGTTATGTGTAGCCTCGCACTTAACTGAATCTCCCCTTTGCTGTGGAAGAGTGTGTGGGAGATGGAATAATGTCTTACATGAATACTTGGAGTAAGTGTCTGCTGGAGCCATTTGAGTTTGGACATATTTTTGTTTGTTTGGGAGCTATACCTGGTAGAGCTAACAGTCTATTCTTATCTGTGCAGGGGCAGAGTTTCCTCTTGGGGGCGCTAGGGGTGAGGGAAATCTGTGTTTCTGGGAATCGAGGCTCCCAAATATAAAGCACTGTATACAGCCCCCCGAGGTAACTCTTCACCTATGAGTCTGAAACTTTTATTTTTCAGTAAATGATTATGATGATGCTCGAGCAGGCCCAGTAACGTCTCCATTGGAGACTTTGTTGTTACTGTGTCTGGCATATCGAATACTCTCGGTAGCTTGCCGGGCTCTCCGAGAGGGGCGGAGGAATCGAACTCAGGTCGGCCATGTTGGCTGCGTGCAAGGCACACGCCCTACCCGCTGTGCTATCGCTCCAGCCAGATGATCGGGGCTGGAGCGATAGCACAGCGGTAGGGCGTTCGCCTTACAAGCAGCCAACATGGCCGACCCCGATTATGATGATGATGATGATGATGATGACTGGTTTTGGGGCCATATTTGGTGGTCCTAAGGTGTTACCCCGGGTTTGTGCTCAGGGATCATTCAGGGCAGGCTCAGGGGACCACATGGGGTGCCTGGGTCAGCCATGTGTAAGGCCTTATTCGCTCTACCAGTTCTCCAACCCTGTCTTGAATTTTTAATAAAGTGCTTTACTACTAATTGAATATTTTCAATCACTGTGGATATCTTCAATGTTCAATTCCATATGCATGGAGCACTCCTGCATGCAAAGCCTAGGCTCAACCCTTGAGCTATCTTTCAGCTCCTTATTTCTCTTCAAGTCAATTTTTCTAGGTGATTTTTATAAAAATGTGTCCATTTTGTTTGCATTCTCAAATTTTTCACTGAATTATTACAACTTATTTCCACTTTAATGTCTATGACATTGACATAATATCCTTTTTTATTCTTAGAACTGGTGATATGTGGGTTCTGTATCTCTTTCTCTTTTCAATTATTCTACCCCTTTCCCTTCATTGTTGCTTATTACTGTGATAAACTGTGCCACACACACAACTGGCTATGGTGCTTGTTTATTGTGTTATTGCACTCTGGGGGATAAACTTGCACAGGTTATGGAGCTGGTAATCTAAATGACCGTGGCACTTACTGGGTGGCATACTCTTTATATGCGGTGCTCTTTCACTTTCTGGATGGGTTACTCATTGTGTGTGTGTGGGGGGCGGGTGGGGGTCCATGTGGTGCTCGCAGATGTTTTCCCCAGGCTCAATTTTCCTGACCATGGTTCTTGGACATATTTTAGTGGTGTTCACACAAGCCATAACCCTTTAGTTGTGGGTTTTTCACACCTGTCTATGGTGTGGTTGGAAATCCCTCATGGCACAAAGGATCACAGGCTCAAACAGTGGGGCTACCAATCTTGGTACATGTGGAGTCACCCGGGGTTGAACTCTTGACATCACACTCACAGTGCAAACATCTTAGCCACTGAGCTTATTCCTTCAGTTCTTTTCTCACTTTTAACTACAGAGGGCAATGCTAGGAACTGGAGCAAAAGTACAGCAAATAGAACAGCAGGTAGAGCACTTGTCTTACACATGGTTTACTGGGATTCAGTCCCAGAATCCTCCATGGTTTCCAAGCCATCCAGGAGTGATCCCTGAGCACAGAGTCAGGAGTAAGCCTTGAGCACCGCTGGGTGTGGCCCCATAACCAAAAAACAGAGGCCAATGTTATTCTTTTTAAAAAGATATCACTTTGGATATATTTTATGAATATTGTTTTTTGTTTTTTAAATTTCCTTTAGTTTTGGGTGGAGCTATTTTTCTACTCTACCACTACTATCTATTTATCAATTATAATAAGCTTGCTGGTAAAAATATAATTGCTCGAGCGGGCCCAGTAACGTCTCCATTGGAGACTTTGTTGTTACTGTGTCTGGCATATCGAATACTCTCGGCAGCTTGCCGGGCTCTCCGAGAGGGGCGGAGGAATCGAACTCGGGTCGGCCATGTTGGCCGCGTGTAAGGCGAACGCCCTACCCGCTGTGCTATCGCTCCAGCCCAAAAAATATAATAGGTGTTAAAATTTATTTCCACAGCTGGTTTGGTTGACCAGGAAAATAGCACTATTAGGTTGAAGTTTTGATTCTTTGTTGGGTTGGTAAACCTTATAAAAGTCACTGAGAATCTCTATTAATGTTGGGTCTTTCATTATTATTCGGAAAAAAAACAGAAAAAGTTCAAGTCTTAATATCTGTTCAATAGTACTGTTATCTCAACAAATGAATGATAGGAAATTTTATGCCCAAAATAGCATAAGAGGAGAAAGACTGATCAACACAAGATGACAATTCTCTATCTCTGTGAGCGTAATGTGTACATCAACCTTCAAAACACCTAAATTTTCACAATTGGCATTTCAATTTGTTATTTGCTCATCATGCATTTCTCATTTAAAATAATTGAAAAGGTTAGAAATAACATCGTTTGTAGTAGCTTGAATTAATTTACTAAAATGTAGGCTCTGGTGCTTCAAAAGTAGTTTAGGGTGATTCCTTGTCCTGGGGACCCCAGACAGTCCACGTGTTCATGAACAATGTTGTGTGACGCAGGTTAGCCAGTGATTTGTCAACATTCACTGTTAGATTCCCTGACCCCCAATTATATCTGGAATATTATATCGCATCGGAAATAGAGGGGAAGTGGACAGTTTGCTATTTCAGCTGACAAGAATAGTTTACTCTTCCTCTATTTCCTGGATAACATTGTGCATTACAC